TGAATGTGGATGAACCTCTTCTCAACCAGAAATGCGATTTTGGACATCGGTGGGATAAACTTCATCCAGATAATTCAAATATTTTCCTTCGTTGATCTTTTGACCTGAATCTGAACACACACATCAGATGCACTGCTTGAGGCCGAAAACAATAAAACAAAAGACGGATCATTTGAGTGATTCAAACAATGGTAAGGATAGGCAAATGAAATGTCAAATTGATGGGCACTCTCCGAATCAGCTCGACGAGCTAAAATGTTATGTTCTTTCAAATGCCGAACGTGACCTGAAACCGAACTGATTTAAAACAATCGTCGAGTTCAATCAACTGCTTCGCTTTCGTGTTTTTCCGTATCCTTCGGATAAAAAATATGATATTCGGGATCAAAATGCACAGTACAATTTGCTTGATCGAAGTGCCTGAAATCCTTCATCGGTACCGACGTTTTGATCAGAAATGCACCATACGACAGAACTCGACGAGAAACATCACATAAGTGGTCTGGAGTGAACAAATTATTCTTTCTAATTGCAATGCGCGGATCGAGATCAAACTGCACCGCGTGATGAACCTGGTCGTGCTGCACCCTCTGCTTCACTTCTATCGTCCTTTTTGTCCTCCGAACCAGGAAGGCGGTTTTGGAGTTCGGCGTCATATACTTCATAATGATCATTGAAATATTTTTCTTGGTTGATCTTTACACCTGAATCTGACCTGATCACACCTCAGATGCATTGTTTGAGGCCGCACAGAAAACTACATCAGACGTTTCATTTGAGTAATTTGAACTAAGTTTTGGAAGCACCATGGAATTTGCCAATTGATGAGCACTATGCGAATCAACTTGACAAGTTACTATTTTGCGTTCGAAACGACGAACAGGACATGCAAATGACCTGATTTACAACAAAAATCGAGATCCATCATGTAACTCCCTTTCGCCTTTTTTCCCTATCTGGTAGACGAAAAATATCCGTCAGAAGGAAAATATGATTTTCTGGATCCAAATGCATCGTACAACACACTTGACCGAGCCGCCTGAAATGCTCCATCCCCCATGATGTTTTTAGCGGAATTGCACCATTGGACAGAACTCGACTATCTACATGACATGCTTGACTTTGTGTGAACAAATTGTTCGTTTCAATTGCAACACCGGGAACGACATATATATGCCCCGCGTGATGAAATTGGTCGTGCAGCGCCATCTGCTTCACTTTTCTTATCCTTGTTAACTTCTGACCCGAAAATCTGACTTTCGAGATCGGCGTGAAAAACTTGATCTAGATGATTCAATTATTTTTCTTGGTATTTTTTCTCCTGAGTCTGAGCTGATAACGCATCAGATGCACTGCTTGAGGCCGCTCAGAAAAATCCATCAGACGGTTGATTTTGTTTAATCCCAACTATGTTCCGGAAGGAAAAAACATGCATAACAATTAGCACTGTGCGAATCAACTCGACGAGCTACAATTTTGCGTTCCTTCCATATGGCGATTGTGACCTGATTTATAACAACCGTCGATTTCCATCATTTATTGCACTTTCGTGCTTTTCCGTATTCGCTGGGCGGGAATTATGATTTTCCGGATCCAAATGCATCGCAAAATGCAACTCATGAAGCCGCCTGAAATGCGTCATCCCTACTGATGTTTTCATCGGAAATGCATCGGAGGACAGAACTCGACAAGAAACATGACAAGATGGACTTTGAGCGGACATATTGTTCTTTGCAATTGCAATGCGAGGGTCGACATCAATCGGCGTGATAAACTTGATCCAGATGATTCAAATATTTTTCTTGGTTGATCGTTGGAGCAGAATCTGACCGGACCACACATCAGGTGCACTGCCTGAGGCCGCAATCGAAAAAAACATCTGACAGTTCATTTGATTTTTGCGAGCTATGTTTCTGAAGAAAAAATGAATTTGCAATTTGATTTGCACTGTGCGAATCACCTCGAGGTGCTACAAGTTTGCCTCCCTCTCAAATGCCGAGCGTGATTTGAAGCTAAACTGGTTGATAACAATCGCTGAGTTCCATCACTCACTTCACTTTCGTGTTTTTCCGTATCCGATGGACGGTAATATTGTGATAGAAGGCAGTTCAAAGAGAGTTCTGGCTAGCGACCGAAGCAAGAATGGGGCCCATCTGACCAGACGCACAGACGCAGTGGCGGGAAGTGCCTCGCGAGACAATGTTGACTGCCGCCCGAAACGAGTGAATCTACAATTACAGCCCGAAAGACAACGTACGTGCCAAGTGCGGACCAAGACCAACAACGAATGATCCACAGAAAGAGGCATGAATCATCCCGCCGCGCGGTTCAGAATTGACTGCATATAATCGAACGTAGACACAGTTTGTTGTTTAATTGGAGCAACAGACGTTTTCCCAGCCAGCTCGCCTTCTCGTTGTAGTGGAGCCGTCGCCCAAGTCAGCACAACGCAATGAAGCTACCCTGGCCAAACGTGTTTGCAGACGGAGATGTGGAGAAATGGATTAGCGATTTGGAATTAATCGCATCGTGCAACGGCATCAAAGGGAGTGCGCACATAGTCACCGCGTTGGGGTCACTGCTCACCGGACGAGCGAGGGCCACATACGACTTAAATTTGGAAAGCAACCGAGCCTTAAATTATGATAATTTAAAATCTGCATTGGTGGCAGAATTTTCAAAGGAGGATGACCGCGAGAAGGCGATGAACCGGTTTTAGGCTGCGGAGTACAACCGAACTGAAGACC